TATATAACAAAAAAAAATCTTCATTTCCATCTTTTTCAGTTTCCTGTTTGCAAGTTACATAAAAATTCGCCCAGCACGCAACGTGTTAAGAACAGGAAAGAAAAAAAAATGAAGTAAATGTTAACTAAAGTCTGAGTAGCTATTAGGGAACTATAGGTAAGAGTTTTAGACGAGGAGCCATGTAAATGTAGAGGATCCATAGCCTGTGCTTCCGTTATGTATCGTATACATTCGCACACGTGCTAGATACTCCCGTGGGGTGTGCTCGATAATGGACAGCCGCAGAAAAAGAAGAATGTACGAACGATCATTGCGTAATTAACAAGTAGTACTTACGAGCAGGAATAAAAAAAAAAAACCGTGTGTTAACCGCGTTGCTACATTAGCGTAGTAGGGTGGCCAAGCTTTCGCTTTAATACTTTAATGGCCGATGACGCCACATTGAGCATCATTTCACGTATCAACTGTTTGCGGCTAATGACGCTACACTGTGGCGTCAATTGTTCTCCGATTTTCTTGTTTTTCTTTCTTCTTTCTTACGCATGCATTTGTCTTTTTATTCTTGACAATTTGTTCATTAGATCGCTGGTAAAAATTTTTACTCGCAAAACCTAGCCGGCCTGTACAGCGTTAACGATAATGAAATGGACCAAAGAAAAAGGGGGGATTGTATTACGATTAATATTTGAGAGATTAGCTTGTAAAATGATTCTTGTTTTTTTCTTTTTTTTTTGGTAACGGAGATTATTCAGTACTATACACCTCGAGGATTTTCTTTTGAAAAGAGGAAAAGTAGTGTCTGGAGAAGAAAACAATTATAAATGTTTATGAATTTATTTATTGTTATTTCTCTTGGTTGATTTGCTTAATTTTAATGTACATAAAGCTCGAATGGAGTTAACTCCAATAGTGGAGTGTAAAGGGTTAAAATGTAAAGTATCTTGAGACGAATATGTTTCAGTAACGCACATTTTCATTTGGTTCGCAAGGTGGAAAGGGAAAAGGGAAATAATTGTTTTGAATAAACGCGAAAGCTTAGATGTACGGTCCACCCTAGCTTACTTAGGGATACAATCGTATATTTTGCAATTACAATTTTGCGGACGCTTGCCAGTTATATAGTTAAGTAGACGAAGATTATCGGATAACCATGTGTCCACGAAAATAATCAATTTTTGATAGAAGAAAGAAAGAAAGAAAAAAACACAAAGATGAAAAAAAAAATGAAACGAGATTCGTTCGTGATCCCGTTTTCATGGCTCAATTTTTACACCTAATTCTTGAAGCAGGGATGAGCAAATTGTATTCCCCTCCTTCTCGGTTTCCGTTTCTAGTCCTAAGATGCTGCCAAATATATTGCTTCCAAAACGAGAAAAAAAAAGAAAGAAAGAAAGTTGTCATTAAACAGTATTAATCTATTTACATACATTATATCTGCTTTTTTCGTTAACGAGATACATTTTTCGAAGAAAAGAAAAAAGAAAAGAAAGAAGTTTGCTCAGCTCTCGCTGTACGGAGTCAAAAATTGAGTATTTTTCTAAAAGTCCACGTAACAGGAAAAAAAGAAAACACAGAGGTGACTAGCGATTTAAATTAGCGATAAAAAAAAAAAACAATATCTCAGAAGTGCCAGTAAACTAACGTAGTGTATTCCGGCAGACAAATACTGGATAATTATTTGTAGAATCGAGATATGAATTATCGATAATATCACTTGTGACACTTAATAAAATGATTGTATAAAAAAGAAAAAAATACCAACCTCTTCTTTCAATTTTATCTTTACGCTTCATTGCAATACTGTCTCTTTTAATTATTCCCAATTTCATGTTTGATCTTTCCTTCTTTTTGCTTTGTAATTACGTAAGTAACTAATAGTAAATAGCATGAAACATAGCAGTTCTGCTCGGCAAAACAATTTTTTGCGAAGTGAACCACAAGTCGTGTGACATCATCGTTTGAAATCCATCACTGTTGTGAGAATCACGTTAGTTTATGTTCTAACGAAACTCATTGCACAACATTCTTTCGTGCTATTTTCATTTCAATTCATATCTATCAGCAGAATGAAGGGTCGCGCTCCCTATTCAAGTTAAGTTTATTATACGTACTTATGAAAGATACATTATTTCTGCACTTGCTATCGTAATGAAAGAGTGACATTAAGGATACGTGAATAACTCGGCACGTTTCAAGATCATTTATTAGGAAGTATATTCTGGGATGTGAAGGCATCTGCGGTCGAATCGATTAAAACTCGATCGAAAGAGTTAGGGTGTATGTTATGTCATCATATATGTGACAAACGTGATATAAAAAATGATAAAATTCGATCTTACTTTTTTTATTCCATTGCGTAACAACGTAGTTCGTTAGCCTGACCCTTTCGCTCTTTATACCACACGTATACATATATTGCATTCATATATAAATGTGACAACACAAAAAGGCACGAGTCACTGCTCAAACTAGATGGCCATTAATTACTCGTTCCTTTCCGTTCGCTACGATCAAAGAAAAGTTCGAGAATCGATCACGCGTCGCTCGATCGCTCGTTCCCACCCCAAGATGGAGTCATTGATCGAAAAACTGCAAGATTCCTACAGGTCGACGATCGTCCACGCTCGTGGAGAGTCTCGTTTCACGGATCATTGCGCAGTACTAGAGAAAAATTTTCGTTTAAACGTCAAGCAGTGATAAAACAGTCATTATAATCATAAATAAAAGAGAGAAGAATGAGCGACAGCAGTTAAAACGAACTAATTGGAATGTTTACACTGATAAGAACGACTGAAATAGCAATTCAGTGACGTATATCAATCGCGTAAGCGAAAGTTAAACGATCGAAACACTTTGAGAATATTTGGTACATCGAATAGTTTTAGATTCGCGAGAAAAATCGAATCCACAATCGAACATTATCGCGCGCCAATGCAGGTCATTGTTAAGGTTTCCTGTTCGATTCTGCATAAAAGCTCGTTCTTCATGAAAGATTAATGTTATGAAACCGTTTGATATAGCTTCAAAAAATGGTATTGCGACCTTTTCACATTTTCTTTCTTTCTTTCGCGGGCTTATCGCAATGTTGTCGACGCCTTTTTTTTCCTACGCTTGTTATCTACGTCGGTTAGAATTGCTTAATCCGATGGAGAACGTACAATTTCGATAAATTTACAGAGCGATTACGTAATCTTTCGATTCTTTCGCGGAAACATAGTTTACAGTGCATGACAACTTCCCAGAAACTTCGAATCGTTTTCTTTGCACCTAACCTAAAAAAAGCTTCGTACAATTGAATGATAATTAATTGCATCTAAGAAAATTATAACGTAATACGAATTCTCGACTCAATCCATCTATATAATTGTTCGTTATGCATCATCGTACCAAAATAGGAAGTACGAAATATTCCGTGACTCACAGGTAAAACGTTAAGATATCTTTCGTTGTTTGGTCGAAGAATGCGGGGAAACAGCTCGTGACCCGTTGTACCCGCCCGGTTGCGGCTCAAGATATTCAGCCGCGGAGAAATCGCGGTACGACGCGACGTTGCGCAAGCAACGCGCGGTTCAACTTAAGAGGTAATTAAATCGATGAATACGGAAGGCGTCCAAGTTCGTGAAGTTGCATCATACATGGCGTGGCACGCAACCATTGCTGTATCAAAGTTACACGTTAATTTTCCGACATCTAAATAAAAAAAATAAAAAGAAGTTCATGGAAGGATGAACAGCTGTAATGCCGTATCATTAAGGCAAGGTCGCAGAATACAGACATGTTGCCCCTGACGATACGTACGTGTTTAATCGAAGGATGCGCCCCGATCGAGTCCCGTGCTATAATTGTATGTACTTTCCGTGGCACGACACCGTTAGGCCCGATGCTATCTTTGAAACGGTGAAAAGAAAAACGCGAGGAAAATCGGGAGGATTGTACACGACCGCAAGAACGTTAAAACACACATCGGCTTCATTAGAGAATTAAGAAAAGGCAATTCAATTGGCCTGGAGATTATACAGGCTTTCTTTATCGAATAAAAAAAAAGAAGATGGTAAATAGATGACGAGTAGTAATCTGTAAACTCTTATTCGAGCGATAATGTAACTTAACTTTATCCTTTCCTTATTCGTCGTGTAACATGCATAAAAGTGTAAGAATATATTTTTTTGTTGTAGCTATTAGATAATTTGAAAATATAGGGGTTAAAAGTCCATCATGTGATTATGATTTAATCCGCATGTATATGTTGGTTTCAAGGATTTTTCGTTCTCTAACACATCACCACGATGACAATTAGTGCAATGATGTATTATAGCTATTAACGATGATGAGGTCTTTTTCGTTGCTATATACCATGTAGCGACGTCGCTAAAGAAAGAAAGAAAATGTTACGCCTTTCGATCGCGCGAATTGGAATGTCTCGTACGCGCGCTTCGCTAGATTTTGCACGCAAATATACATATGTACGCGCGATTGTATATATATTAACCGCAGATTTAAAAGTGTACAGATTGAATATTACTTCATGTTTTAATATTAATCTAACATTGATCTATATCACAAATGGTGACAGTATATTTCCACTGACTCCAGCAGTGATGTAGAGCGGTGAAATTAGATCATGTGAATACATTCTACATATGTCACAGGGCAAACAGCTCGAGTCTTTAATTGTCTGAAAGATTAAAATATTAATCGATCCTTATTATTTAGTTCCGGTCGATTTAGATGAAATTAGACGAATGTATTAATAGATTATAGTTCATTTGCGCGAACTTTGTTTCTTTCGTGACAAGCTGTATTCGGTACTTCCATGAACAGGTTGATTGTAACACCTGGAGAAAGGAGAGGGGTGATGAAGGGAAAAAGAGAAGGAATTCGATCCTAGCGCAGTGTAAAGTCATTACGCTTTCTGCATGTTCACGTGCTCGAACTAAAATGATAACCTGATTCCTAGTAATTTTTTAAGAGAAACCTTTACTATTGGTGGGAATGGCGGAATAACAGGTCGCGTCGTTCGTAACGTCCTTCAAACGTTCCTATCGATTCCGAGAGTACACGGAAAGACGTATAATACGAAGTTCAGCATCGAAACATGCTAGTTCATCGGTAACGGTGCTTGACCGATTGTCGTTCAGTGACTGTCGTTCAGTAACGTTCGTTGCTGTCGAATAAAGTTACCACCACGCGTTTTCTTTTTTTTTTTTTTCTTTCTTTTCAATTCGACAGTATTTTAAGTTCGATTTTCAAAGAAAAAGCAGAAAATGTCAGATAACGAGACTAAATCGCGGTGTCACTCACGTCAAAATTGTGTCGTGCAACCACTCTTAACAGGTACTTGCAGTGTGTACTTGTTTCTTATTATCCATGTTGCAAAAACTAGTTGAGAAAAGTAACCTCAAAAAACGCGGGTCCATTTTATCTTATCGTTTACTCGGCAGTATATTAAGTATATGATGTAACACGTGGTGTTTCAAAATATAACGGACATGGGTTGATTGTGATGATTTTGGTGGAAGATTTTAAACTTTACGCCTGTATATTTTTGAATAAGTAAATCATGATTATCTTTAAGTTATTCGTGTCTTTTATGCAATTCAGTTTTTTTCTAAATGTCTTTGAATGCGTTTAAGATTACTTCGTAGATGAACGAGAAGATAATTTTGTTGTTAATAATTGAATAATAAAAGTAATTTGATTAATTCAATAATTTGTCTATTAATTCTATATTAGCTTTGTAAAATGTGTTAATACATTGATCTTTTAAAACTGTGATTTGATAAGTTTTTTTTTGTTTTGTACATGGTAATCTAACATAACGTAAAGTTATAGATGTATGTCTTATAATACAAATGTCAAAGTATTATTTAACAAGTATATGACATTATAAATATTTGTATTTGTTTTATAATTCTAGACTTATATCAAATTACAATGGCATATGCTTATTGGAAAAGTGGAAAAATGAATGACCATGCTGTGTTTGATTTATATTTTCGTAAAAATCCTTTTCAAGGAGAATTTACAATCTTTGCTGGACTAGAAGAATGTATTAAATTTCTGGAAAAATTTCGTTATTCTTCTAGTGGTATGTATTTATTTCTAAATATTATACTGTTTAAATAACATAGATTTATAAATCCAAAGACATATGTTTTGAAATATACAAACAAAATGTTCAATTATACAGATATTAAATATTTGAAATCAACATTGCCATCATCAGTTGATCAAAGGTTTTTTGAGTATTTGAAAGACCTTACCCCAAAAGATGTCACAATATATGCTATGGAAGAAGGTTCAGTTGTTTTCCCAAGGTTGGTAGAAACTCTTTGGAACTTGCATGCATCATGCGGATATTGTCCACTTATGTTAATTATCATCATCATTGTCATCGTTTAGGAAACTTTTTCTTGCTCTTAAGACAGCAGTTAGAGTTAATGTTCGAATGCTTATCAACATTACATATTTGATGAAACATCAAATCTTAATAAGTTAAAACCTCAATGCAAATTGATATGTTATGCAGAATACCATTACTAAGAGTAGAAGGTCCATTAATAATGGTACAACTTTTGGAAACAACACTATTAACCTTAGTTAACTATGCAAGTTTAATGGCAACTAATGCAGCCAGATATCGTATGGTTGCTGGGAAACATATAACGTTGCTAGAATTTGGCCTTCGAAGAGCTCAGGGTCCTGATGGTGGCTTAAGTGCATCTAAATATAGCTATATTGGTAAGTATTTCCCTATATCTTTATTTCTTGATATGTTACTTCAAAATCTCAAAAATTCTATGAAAGTTATACCTAATATAAACACATTTATATCTTTTCCTTTATCTTTCCTGTAAATTAATTAACATTTTTCAGGTGGTTTTGATGGTACAAGTAATGTTTTGGCAGGAAAATTGTATAATATTCCTGTAAGTGGAACACATGCACATGCATACATTACATCTTTTACTGGTATTGATGATTTACAAGAGAAGGTAAGTTAGAGAATACTAACTTAGCCATACAAAGTAATTTACTTGAATAAAATTCTTTCATTTTAATTACATTTGATCTTCTTTCAGACTTTGGCACATAAAGAAACAGGAGAAGTTTATGATCTTCTACAATTAGCTTACAAACATCGGGATGCAATTGCTGCTGATGTAAGAACACTAGTTTCTGAGGCTTCTAATGGAGAGTTAGCTGCTTTGATTAGTTATGCCATTGCTTTCCCACAACGATTTGTTGCTCTTGTAGACACATATGATGTGAAAAGGTATGATATTGTGCTTATTTTATCTGTATTCTTTTACCTTAGATTTTTTTTAACATGCCTTGAAACTTTCTTTTGCATATTTTGTACATATGAGTAGATGTAATATTTTACTTTTAGTTTATGTATGTGTAATGTATCTCCTTAATATTTGTGTATATTTATATTTGACTATCTGCATGTCATACATTTAGAATTTTATTTAAATGTGCACTAGCAATATTCTTTATTTAGTACTAATTTATCTGTAAAACTTTTTCTTAACTGTATGCTTGTAATATGAAGAATTTCTTTAATAATTAGTAATTTTCTTAAATATTAGTAGCCTTACTCTATTTTAGTATGCATGAATGTAAAGTAGAAAAAAATATACTAGGAAACACTATAGAAATACCAGAGATACTTTATCAGCAATTTCATCATTTATTAAAAATATATTTAATTGGATTTGATATGTGCATTAGTAATCCTAATTAGAAATTCACAAAGCAGGCATGATGAAACATATACACACTGTAGCCTAACAGGAGTGTGTTTATAGCATCGAAGCCTCGGCCAAGAGACAGGCATGTATAGCCAGCCTAAATATAAAGAATAAACGTCTAACAAATGGGTCCAATACACATGCCCAAAATGGTGTCAGAAACAATCCAATTATATCAGAATCAACTTCCCATCACAAGAATGGCTTTTTAAGACGAGGCGAATTGGGTGAGCTCTATGTGAGGTACGATATCATTCTATTTGTCTGCTTTGCAGAATAAATCATCGTATTTTTCATTTTATGAAACAGTTAATCGTTTAATTATTTTTCATAAATAATAAATACATGTTATTATAATCTTTTTCGCATATCCATTTTGTTAAACTTTCAACTATTATATTTATGTATCTATTATTATGATAATAATTTTGAATTAAAACTGTTTAAAAATATCAATTAAAATGAGTACATTTTCACATACTTCGTTCATTTGATTGATAAGAAAAATACATCATTCTGTAAAGCGGGCAAATCTATATTTCGCTGCTTCGTTTTTTTTTTACGTAAAACAGTAATAAAGGACCAAAAAAATCGTGAGTTACTTTATGACAAGTTTTATAAATCTTGTACTGTTTACGACCTTATATAGTACCCTTCCCAATTCAGCCATTTAACAAAATAATAATTATGTTTAATATTGCATTAATTATAAAATGTTACTGGCTCCAAGAAAACCTTAAAAAAGTCGTAAAAGTCACATAGATATTAAAAAAATGTATTGACAAGACAGTAATAAAAATTGTCCTATTAATACAAAATTTGTTCTATATCTGAGAACATATTGTGTTATATCATAATCAATGTACTTAATATTGATAACTTGCATGTAGTATCCATTAACATGTTCTATTACTTTATAATTCAGATATAAAGCCATTATAAACTTTCTGCATTTTCATCTAATTAATAGTAGTGCATGTTTTGTATGTACAGTGTAGCATTGATTATTGCATCTTTGCAGTATATTTCATATAATTTATATGGTATATTGTAATTACATAGAAATTAATATTGTGTTTTAAACTATGGTAAAATTATGTAGATGCATGTACAACTAATATGTTTTCATCAATATGTAAAAATTGTATAAATTTCACAAGTAAATTTTGTACTTAGGAGTGGTCTTCTAAACTTTTGTGCAGTGGCACTAGCTCTAAATGACTTGGGTTATAAAGCAATCGGTATAAGAATTGATAGCGGTGACTTAGCATATTTAAGCAATGCTGCCAGAGATATTTTTGAAAGAATTGCCATCAAGTACAACATACCTTGGTTTTCAAAGTTGACGATCTGTGCATCAAATGACATTAATGAAGAGACTATTTTAAGTTTAAATGAACAGGTAGATAAATACATATGAAAAATGTATAGTTTTATTTTACCACAAATTTGTTTTTTTACGAAGGACGTTATTTTTATAGAGTCATAAGATCGATTGCTTTGGAATTGGAACACATTTGGTAACGTGTCAGAGGCAACCAGCATTAGGTTGTGTTTATAAAATGGTTGAAATTAATGGTCAACCTAGAATTAAACTCAGTCAGGAAGTTGGTAAAGTCACAATTCCAGGAAAGAAAGACGCGTTTAGATTATATGGAGCAGATGGATATGCTTTAATTGATCTCTTACAAAGATCGACGGAAGAAATTCCACAAGTAAAACAAAAAGTCCTTTGTAGACATCCTTTTCAAGAATCAAAAAGAGCATATGTTATTCCATCGCGAGTTGAATCACTGCATAAGGTAAATTGAAAAAATATCAACTTCTGTAAAAGTTAAAATTTATTATACTTTTTTATGAGCACATGTTTGTTATAAATATATAGGTATATTGGAAGAACGGTAAATTATGTCAACCTTTACCTGCATTACAAGAGATACGAAATAGAGTACAAGAATCTTTAAAAACACTCAGAAATGATCACAAAAGAAATTTAAATCCTACACCATATAAAGTGAGTTCTAATAAATATTTAGAAAATAAACGTAAAAGTTTATGTATGTCGAAATGATCAAAAATTAACTATCGTTATTTCGCAGGTGGCTGTTAGTGATGATTTGTATAATTTTATACACGATTTGTGGTTACAAAATGCACCTATTGGTGAACTCTCGTGAAGCTGAGCATATATCATCATTAGAAAGTAATGAACAAAGACCATGTATATGAATGGCCTACCATCACGTTAAGTTGGAAGTTTCAGAAGTTTATTTTTTACACTACCTAAGAAACTTCTAATTGTACAAGCACCAATTTGACTGTAATAGTGATTGCGACACAATATGAGAATTACTTATCTAGAAAAATGTGGTGGAAAATTATGAAAGGACAAGAGTCACGGGTAGGAAAAATGTAGAAGAAAAACGGATGTAAGAAAAGATTGTAAAGATTGACCCTGCATATGCTTAATTGTTTATTATACTGTTTCACTGAGAGACGTTTAGGGTAATCAACTTTCTGTGTCATAATTTGGGCTACTCTGATTCGAGCTACTTTATGTGATCTTATGCCGGTGGTTTTTTTACAATCTAAGTTTGGATTACTGCGAGGTGTGTGTGATTATGTGTAATATATAGCTGATAGGTTTACATATGTAGATGTACATAATTAGTAATAGTAGTTGTCTGATGCTAAGCTATTCTAAATTTGAAGATTACTCTACAATCGAGTTAGCTTAAATTTAATCTACGTTTACCTGATGAATATTATATGAAGTAACTAGAATAATATGCAATACAACGTATGATATGTATACAAAACAAGAGATGGCTTATAACTATGTACAAATGTAGTTGCTTACAAAATATTATACAATTATTTCACGACGATTATATGTTTAACTAGAAATTTATTTTATAATTGTACAGTATATGTTACTCCTTTCTTTTGCTAAATAATGAATAATAAGTTAGAAACACAAGTTTATATAAGAACTTAAATTAGAAATATAATATTGTCAACTCAGTTTTATCATGTGTACATGAATCGTTTATTTTGAAAGTGGTGTAAGTCCATTTTTTTAAAAAATGAGATATCACATAATTTGTGATTAATTTAGTGTAAACTTTTTATTTATAAAAAAAAAAGGACTTGCACCATTTTCAAAATAAACGGTCCACATTATCAATATATGTATATTTAATTAACTTAAATTGAGAGTGACGGTAGTTTTCTAATAGGATGCTTGTAAATACCACAGCTTGTTCTAACTATTGTCACTCGCACGATTCCATCTTAACAAGGGTGGAAGATGATAATATGCCCAGTGGTTAATGCAGTAGTGAGGTTATTCTCCCCGATCAGTGTACCCTTTTGAATGATTGTTGATTCCTTATGCTTGTGCCATTTCTGTCTTACGGTGATTTCATTTAAATATTCTTTATGCCATCATATCCATAAATCTCGAATCTGTTGTGCCTGCTACAATTGTGATAATCAACTTATCTTGGCTGCTGAAACGTCTCTCAGGTACGTTCGCTAGTGAATCACCAATAAGTAATTGGCCTAATGTCAATGTTGAAAGATCAGAAGGATCTGATTTCTGTCAAAACGATATTTAATGCCTCGTATGTCAGAAGCGTGTTACCTAGTATGAATAAGGTGATATCGGAACGATTTAATTGCTGACTACCCATACCCCACATTTAAAAATGTTTACAGTTTTTTGTTTTTATACTGTATCATTATATTTAGATGTAATTTTAGAAACGTACATGATTATTAGACTGAACAAAGCTAAATTTTTACACAAAAATTGTATGACATTAAATTTGCTGACTTTTTAATATAACGTTTACCGTATGCCAACAAGCTAATAAAAGTAATTGTTTTTATAAAAATTGATTATGTATTTTCAAAGACATGAAGATATCGCTAATTAAGATAATTATATCGCTAATATATTATAAACTCTAAAAAAAAATATAATGACAATACTTTCGTTATATTTTCTAATAATCATAGTGTTGAGAAGTCAATTATGAGTTGCCAGTTTCAATTAATCATTTTTATTTTATAAAATTGTTAAT